AACCCTAGTAAAAAAATAAAGTATTTATGCTTATTAAGAGGCCTTTATCTTTCATTTGACACCTCATTTTTTGTAATCCAACGAACTATGCATATCTTATATTTTTTTAGACAGGTGGCAACCCTATATAAATTCTAAATCATGTCTATACAGAATATATTAGAGAAAATCTCGTCCAAATTCGTTTAGTAGCTTTCGATATTAGCGCATTCAAGAAATCTCTACTTTCCTCTATACTATGTATAGATAAATTAGAAACTTTTAAATAGGTGGCAACCCTACTAAAAAAAATTAAAGTTTTTGTACATGCGAAGGCCATGACCTTTCATTGTAATCCAACGAGGGGTGAAAATCTTTTAATTTTTTAACAGGTGGCAGCAAGACTTAGGGCTGGTTTCTCCAATTCAACTCAACTTAGTTTAGCCAATTTTTTTTTAGACTTGGTCAAGAATAAGCTGTGTAAAAAATATGCTTACTTTTAAGTCAAAAAAATGGCTTAACTAAGTTAAGTTGAGTTGGAGAAACTAAGCGTATAAAATTGAGATAGTTTGAATTTTATTTTCTGAAAGAAACTCGACTTTCCTTTATACTATGTATAGAGTAGATATGTATAAGAATGTAACGTGATGTATACAAATTCCTTTAGGTTTTGTGTAGCACGAAAAATAAATAGAAGTACATTACATTTTCCAAAAAGTTTGTTTCAATATATATTTTGTTATTTTTTTATTGATACCTAATATATTTGATAAATTTTTGGATTTGTTTCTGATATTTATTTCAAAAAAAAAAATGTTTCTTAGTTTTATTTATTTTTGATTGTGAAGCTAAGAAGCGCAATATAGATAATTAATCACATTAATGTAAGTTCAATTGAATTTCTTTTCCGAGTTGTGTTATTATTATTAGGGCCATTCCATTATGACTAGTGGGACATTTTACTCCAGAATGTGATCAATTTTGAATTTTTTCATTAGAATGAATGTGACTAGTGGGACACTGAAAATAACTCTATTTTACCCCTGTGCACTCAAAGATGAATTTTAGCCAAAACACTTAATTTTCACGAACGATGTATTTGTGTTGTGAAATATGAATTATACGCTTTCGTTTGCAATAGAAATTAGGTTTATATAATCTTCATAGAAATATTAAAAAATGTTTAAAGTTGTGGCTAGTGGTACATCTCCTTGTGACCGGCGTAAAGTAATTATGCATGAAATAAAAGTTTCCATAGACTAAAAATGCAACTTCTTTTGTTTTTTTTTTTTATATTTTCCCACAGGTTAATGAAATGTAGTTAATTAAAAAGATGTTACTACTGAAATAGAAATAATTAGGGCATATTTACATTTAAGTCGCTTTCCTCTTTTTAATGGAATGACCCATTACCAACAAATAATCGAATGGATAGGCAATGTTCTAAACTCGAAAAAATCGAATTTCAACTCCCCACTACCCATCCCTAATGAGTGAGCGGCTGAATGGCTTCAAATCGGCTACCATCCTTGGGAGGCGTGCCGTCCATAACATATTTACCAGAAGAGAGTTACAGTCGGGTGTTTAACTCTTGTCAGGTTCCCCAGATAATAATTTCCCCCAAATTCGATTTTACTGGTAGTAGTTTACTCTTACCTCCAGCCTGAATGAATGACCGATATATTGTGTTCGGTCTTACTAGTCGCCATGGAGTCATCGATAATGTTCTTGTATCGCATCGGGCATGAACTATTTCTCGACATGTCCAGTGTCATTCTGAGTAGGGACCGAAAATAATCGTTAAACATGATTTTTTAATTGGAGGTATTCACACCTGCCTGATTATCAGGTTAAAAGTTATTATTCTCTAGTGTATTTTGTTATTGTAAAGTGAGTTAAAAATATAACCATAAAACCATATATTTACTTAACCTGAGAAAAGGTCAGGTGTGAATGGCCCAAGTATTTTAAAATCGTTATTTTTAGACTTTTATTTTTTTTTCGATCAAGAATTATTCCATTTTTACAGATATGTAATACTCCTATATTGGCAGTAAGAGCTAGTACCGTCCGAAAACACTACAGTACATATATATCAATAAACACGTACGAACCCTGCAAAAAATTGTGCGACTAATCTCTAAAGAGAGTATTCCGAGATTTGTCTCAATCGGGTACAATTGGGCATTAATTAGTCCCAACTAGTCTCATACGGGTACTAATGGAGGTCAATTAGTCTCGACTCAACCCTTATGGGTATAATTGGAGATCAATTAGTCCCCAACTCATCTCTAACGGGTACTATTAACTATTTAATGATATGTACGCACTTACAGCCAGTTTCACCAAACTATTTAAGTGGAAATTAACTTTAATTTAATTTTGTATTTAATTCTCATTTAAATAATTTTCAGTTTCAATAAACTATTTATTTAAGTGAGTAAAAAGTGGTTGTAAAACAGACTAGGACTAGCTTTCGCTTTCATTTGTACTGAGAGCTTTTGAAAGCTTTGGCACGCTGTGTTGTAAAAGCAGGGCTGGTATACAAGTAAGCAGCAGATACACAATGATCAGGTGATTAAACGTGTAACACCTCTGAGTGTGGTTGTTCTGATTTAACTTTTATTTAAGTGCAGAGCATAGGTCACTTAAATCAAAATTAAAATTGATTGGTGAAACCGAAATTAAAGTAATTTTCACTTAAATAATTTGGTGAAACTGGCTGTTAGTCAATGAAATTTCATGTGCGGCGTTGGCACACAGAGAGAGTATTCGCCTAACAAAACTGAGCAGCACCCCGGTTCGAATCTCAGCTGGCGCAAATTTTTATTTTTATTTTTTCTGGTGTATAGGTGAACAATTAGTCTCTTCATAGGACATGCTCGAACAAAAGCGATCAGTTCATTCCATATAAAGAGATCAAAAGTGGTATTAGTCGCATGCTCCTTTGCGATTGCTCCCGGAGTTATCCCGGATTAGTCCCATTTTTTGCAGGGAAAGAAAAGGAACACATACGTTTATAAATAAACATGTACACAACACATATACAAAAACGGCACTCAAGTACACAATACATTGACAAAAACGGTACTAGACTGTCTCGCTTTGATTTCGGAATGCTTACACATTGAGATGTTAGCTTACTACCAATGTAGAAGTATTACATATGGGTGTTTCCAGCGGAAGGTCCACCACGACAAAAAAAAATAAAAGTTTTATATCTAACGTATTTACGGGCCGATTTGTCTGCTTTTTAAAATATATACTGGCTATGTAAGTAGAATCATCTTTGCATAAAATGGTCTTCCTAGGTGGTGCCAAGGTCGAGATATTTCGAAAAACGGTATTTATGGTCCGATTTGGTTCGAATTTGGCGTATGTGGTTGAAACATAATAAATCATAGATTTCCAATAAATTGACCCTGAATGGGCGCTGAAGTCAAAATATAAAGTATATTCTACATAAAATACATGTTTTATTTGCGTTGAAAATTCATTTAAAAGCAATATTAACAAAAATATAACGATGGAAATTTATGTCACGTCACGCCACGTCACGTCACGTTTCACACTTGGGGTTGTAAAAGAGAATTGAAACAATTTGCATTAATTCAAAAAACTCTAAAAACAACTAGAATTGCTCCAAATCATATCAAAATAAGTTTCATCAAAATAGCCATCCACAATTCGCAGAGTTTTGCGATTTTGCAAGAAAAGAAAAAATCAACTTCCATTTTTTGTCACGTAACGAACCTCTCTTTAAATGCTTATATTTCAGGACCAAGCAGTTCGATTGATTTCATTTTTCGGTTAAATATAGAGCTAATTATGTGCTATACAATGGCCCAAAAAAGTTAAAGAAAACAACTGGTATTCCTTTTTTGTATCACTTTGAAATCGTACGACTGTCACGTGCGCCACCATGGGAATGCCCATATATGCATTTTTAGGTGTTGTTTCATCAGCTGTGAATAGCGTGTGGTAATCAAAATTTTGTTTTTCGTTAGTGAATGAAAACGGGAGTGTTTGTATTTTCTGTAGCCTAAAAGTAAAAACCAAATTCTGGTAAATTTTGTATTTGTTGAATCGATATCACCTTATATGAATTCACCTTTACTTTTTTGGGAAAAATTTAATTGTTGTTTTGTGATATTTGTTATTTTTCGATCAAAAATAATTGCTATTTTAGATTTTAATTTTTTTCGATCATTTTCAACCATTATGATTGAGACTGTGTTTTTATAAAACTTTTATGATCGAAAAAAATAAAAATCGAAAAATAATAAAACGTTTCAATTATGATTTTTATTATGAAGATCATAACGGTTACTATTGTTATTTTTATTTGTATCCAGTACGTTAGCCACCTGTTGAGACAAGACCATCCGATACCCAAAAACAGATAAAAGGTAGAGGGAAAGAAACAGTACACAACGGTAGAGCATCATGCCATAGGGGAGGGGACACTGTATCCGTCAGAAAGGCATCGATTTAAAATCATTCATTAGGCAAGGAAACGCATTAAATTCCGAATTAGTGGAGGCGGGTAATACGATACGACCGACAGAAGGGTCCTATTAAGACTGCGCTCTTTGCCTAAACGAAACCATAATCGATTAAAATCACCGGCGTCTGCGAATGTATGTGCGATTTGCCAGGAGATTGTTCTCAAGTTAACCTGATCTTTTAGAAAAGCAAGTCGGACCCTTCTGCATGTATAAGATCTGCAGATCTTCACTAAGATCAGTGATGCTCAAAACACCGCCTTTTGGTAGAACTCTTCAGAGCTATCACACCTATTTATATGGACGCGCACAAAGCAAAAAATCTCTCTGAGCATCACTGATCATGGTTGCAATTTATAAAACTCTATTCTCGCTCACAAGTAACTATTCCATTATGAAAGTACTTTACATATTCGGAAAGTTCTTAGCTGCCGTAAGAAAATCAGGGCTACATTTTAATCAAAAATTCGCATCATAAATTTATTGAAGTTTTGAACATTACATAGAAATAATATTTTACTCCTCAGTGACTTGTATATATGATTTAACTGTAACTTTCCAATCGTTGTTTACCGCAAAGCTTATTTTCAAAAGGTAGTCACCCATTGGCCACGGCAGTGATTGCAGATGTTTACTTTCAAGCACAAGATCTTTGATTATAATGTCATGCTGGAAATGAATTGGAATATTTAAAATTACTATAAAAAGTACTTGGGAATTTTACTTGAATATTGTATTATTACTTCACTACCGAGCTACTTACATCGTACGGACATGTGTGGTTTATATTTGAATACTTTTCTACCGCATCCAATATCATTTTGCCAAAAGGTGTTTGCTTTCTATACTTAATAAATCGACAAAAATCCGTAGTAATGTTAAACATGAAGGGACGATAGCCATTTGCTTTTTTATACACATCCGCGTTTACACCGACATTGGTCACTGGTACTTGATATAGTTTTGCCGACAACGAGAGGGCGACTTGATTGCGGGATAAAGCTTTCAATCTGCATTGGCGAAAATCAACGAAGGATTTATCAAGACTAATACACTTAAAATTTGTAAATTTTATATAGGCAATTATCATTGAAAAATTAATAAAGGCACAGTAAAATGCTGCTACAAATTTAATTGTGTTCAGTAATTTCATTTTGACCGCAAGGCAGGTGAGCCACTGACGATATGGAATATAAAATCTAACGATAGTTAATAAAACTAAACGTATCTGGTGTAAGATTGTAGACAAACATAATTATGTTTGGCACCATTAATGTCTGCTTGACAATACGAGGACTACTCCAGATATTCTGCGCCTAAGCAACACTAACAGGGCAATTGTGGCAACTATCTGTCTTTCAACTCACGACTGTCTGTCGAAAGACAAAATTCTTCTGGCAACTAGCTTGAAATCATTTCCCTGTCTTTCGAAAGACTAATTGAAAATCTGTTCATGAGGAAGCCTTAGTGTTATTCCGTGTGTGTTTTAGCAATAAGTTGTCTAAATGTTAAATGAAATAAAAACTATATGGTTTTCTTTTTAAAACAATAAAATCTAAAAATTTAAAGAAATCTATATTAAAAAAAGAAAAAATAAATAAAATAAAATTTCAAAAATTAAATTAATTAAAATCAAAAGGTTAAATAGGAGAAACATAAGTTCCTTAAAATTTAGTTTAACTAAACAAAAATTAGTTTTCTTTTTAAAACAATCTAAAAAGTAAAAGCAAATTAAAAGTAAATGNAAAAAGAAAAAATAAATAAAATAAAATTTCAAAAATTAAATTAATTAAAAATTAAATAGTATTTTTTTTTAAATAATAAAATCAAAAGGTTAAATAGGAGAAACATAAAATAAGTTCCTTAAAATTTAGTTTAATTAAACAAAAATTAGTTTTCTTTTTAAAACAATCTAAAAAGTAAAAGCAAATTAAAAGTAAATAAATTTAATCTAAAAATCAAAGAAATCTAAAAGATTTGTTTCGTTTTTAAACAACAAAATCCAAAAGTAAAAAAATTAAATTACAAAAAAAAAGTATTAAAAAAAATAAAAAAAGTTTATAACAAAAAAAAAATAAAAAAGTATTTCGCTCTTTAAAACAATAAAATAAAAAACATTAAAACAAATTGAATTAAAGCAAAAAAAAATAAATACAACCACAGGAAGAAATAAAAACAGTTTCTAAAAATTGAATGAAGTGAAAAAATACTTAAAAACCGACTTAAATAAAATATATATATATCTATATATTTCATGATCCAATGATCGGATCTAAACCAAATTAGTATGTCTGAGACACTACCTTTCCGTTGAAAAAAAAAAAAATACTCCGACTTGTTTCTGATATTTATTTCATTTGTAGACTAAAAATGCAACTTCTTTTGTTTTAGCAAAAAAAAAACGACTTAAAAAAATATAAATATAAACATATATATTTCATGATCCAATGATCGGATCAAAACCAGATTAGTACGGGACCGCCTCTGAGACACTACCTTTCCGATGCAAAAAGAAGAAGAATCGAAATCAGGTGACGTGGTCCAAAGTTATGCGCTAACATACATAAAAAAAATATTCCGACGAACTGATAACCTCCTCCTTTTTTGGAAGTCGGTTAAAAATACAAGAAGTGTTTAGCAAAAAAAAAACGACTTAAAAAAATATAAACATATATATTTCATGATCCAATGATCGGATCAAAACCAGATTAGTACGGGACCGCCTCTGAGACACTACCTTTCCGATGCAAAAAGAAGAAGAATCGAAATCAGGTGACGTGGTCCAAAGTTATGCGCTAACATACATAAAAAAAATATTCCGACGAACTGATAACCTCCTCCTTTGCCCTATAAGTGTGCTACAGTCGTTTAAGTGGAGTAAAAATGGTTTGAGAAAATAAGATCGCGTTACATGCATATGATTATGGGACAGAAACGAAACCAGAATCCGCTGTGAGGCTTTTATAAGACTATACAAATGTAATTAACTGACGTGTAAATATTTGTTCGTCCGCCGTTGGTGGCCTATGACTTTTTTTCGGTAGAAGCCGTTGAATCATTCAAAATTTATGTTTTGCAACCACCTCGATCGGAGTGCAAAAATGCTTTGAAAATTGGTTTGATCTCGCACAAAACTATACAACATTTAATGGAGAATATTTGAAAGCAGTCTTCCTTTATAAAAAAAAATATTAGTTTTTCATTGTGAAACGCAAAATATTTTGATCAGCCCTCGTATTAGTTGAAGAGTAAATGTATTTAACACTACATTGGCATAAATACAGTGGGGGATCTAGAAACGTGTGAAATGGGGGTTCTGTCTTGCTTCTAGAGACCTACATAGTATGTACTTTGGAACATTATATTATAACATATTTTATAGAAAACAAACTACCTATGGAACTGGAATGAGTGAATATTTTACAAACACACAATTGCGATTATGCATTTCTCTACTTGCCAGATATATTAAATTAGTCCGAGAAGTCATCGCAAAATCTTTTCCTAGCCATCACGACCAAAGCATTTTCCCCGAACGAGGCCTTTTACGCTTTCGATAGTTTTAACATGCATCCACAAAGTCTCGTGATTTAGTAAATCTATACTACCATTTCCTCTGAAAATGGCAGCACCACAAAGTATAAAAATGAGCTTTCCGCACCTCTTTACTGATACGCTCGTGCTTTCTCGAAATATTAACCTGCCTACTGAACCATAAAGCAAAATTAAAAAATCGTTAACTGTTCATGTAAAATTAAGTTTAATTTTATGCAGAACAGTTAGTTTATAAACAATCTAATTAAGCTGCTTATTAGCCTACAATTAGCTTATTTTTGTGGGAGACCGTTCTAGAGGAGTAACAGCCGAGTTTCCGTTAAACAGATAGACTACTGTGCTCAGAAGAGCATTGTTTGCACTCTCCAGAGGGAACCGGGATGGACAGCGATACGGGCCGTTCACCCAACCCAGGCTGCGATAGCTGAAGTGAAATTGAGGATGCTTCTATATGCGAGTATTTTAATACATAAAAATGTCGTTTTTCTGTGGTTTTTGGACGACTGGTAATAAAAATTGATCATATTGACGCAGGGGCGCACCCAGGAATATATTTTAGGGGGGTTTTATATTTCTGAATATATATCACCGGAAAATACTGAAAATTTGCTTCAGATAATACGCTCTTTAAAATACATTCATGCAAGTTTTATGTACAGTATGTAATAAATAAATAAACGTTTTAAAATCCATAAACTGCACTTTATTTACATAAGATTAACAGAACTCAAACACTTTTAACCGACTTCAAAAAAAGAGGAGGTTATCAATACGGCGGAATACATAACTTTTGACCACGTGAACCGATTTCAATAATCCTTTTTTATTGGAAAGATGGTACCTCAAGGATCGTCCCATAATTTGGTTTAGAGATCCTATGATTGGATCATGAAGAAATTAACGGTACCCCTAAATTTGAAGTCGGTTGTGTTCTTTGCTTAAAAACTACTTGTTTAATAAAAAGTTCTATAAACTCAAGATGCGCTCAACTTTTAAAAGTACCTAATAAAAAATTTTAAAAGAGTCAGTAAAAATAAATTTATTGATTCCATAAATTTTTGCACTTTTATGTTCATTTTTTCGATTTCTGGTTTCTGGTTTTCGATAGAGATGGTGAGTTTTCACGATTGCTAAATTTTTTTAATATTTCGAATACCGAAAAAATTAACTGAACTCTCAAGAAAAACGAAAAATTCATATAAAACGACGGACGAGAAATGGAAAAGAAATTTTCTTCTACCAAAATTTCTTAAATCAGTTTGCAGCTCTCAAGAAAAAAATGTTCGTATATTTATTTCCTCATAGAAATTTACAGCAAAAGCAAAGCGCTTTTTCAGGCAACAGAAATTATAATTAATATTTCTCATAATTTCCTTGAGAGCTGGATTCTTAGCTTTAAGATACAGTTTGTATTTGAGGTTATTAGCTTTTGGGGGGGTTTGAACCCCAAAACCCACCCCTTGTGTGCGAATTGTATTGACGAATGACCACGACCAGACTCCACTTCTAGTCATACATTACCATGAGACAGATCGTTTGCTGAGTCCGCCGCCACCCTCTCCCACCCCCAGTGTTGCCAGGTTTTCGGCATGAGAAAACGTCCCTATTGGTCTGAAGAAACGTCATTTCCTACCCAAAAACGTCTTTTCAATGTATGCACACAGAATTGTTCTTATTAAACTTTTATTGTATATGTCGGTGTATTTATATGTTTTGTAAACCTTTTTATGTTATGTAACGAATGACTTTGTTTATTAAATGAATTTACTTTCAAGCCAAGTATGCTGTATAGATATTTCTTTCACTTGTTCAAAGAATNCCACAAACAGTTTCCTTATTAGTTTAAATTTCATCCAGCAACATGCGATCAGCTGTTTTTCGTACTGGCAAATTCTTACAAGTAAAAATTTATCCAGTAAAATCCAGTAAAAACTTGCAACTTCAACTGTCATTTTTCGCTCTCTCAATTTCCCCTACTTTGCAAGTTTTTGCGTACGAAAACGCCAAAACATGAAAATTCGTAAAAACTTTTACTGGATTTTACTGGAAATGAGTAAAAAAACGCAACTATTGTCAGCCACTTTAAACGCACAATTTAGGTAAAATAATGCAACAAACTGCTTTAAAATGTGTTGTCATGTTGAATTAACTCTTCTTTACTTGAATAAAAGTGTAAAACAAGTGATGTAAACAAACGCTCAGCCGACGAACCCGCTTTCGCAAACTTTTTTCTCAAAACCAGTTACAAATACAACGTCGCGTTCTTACGTGATCTTGTATTTTTGGTTCATGGGTTAAAAACACTAATTGTATTAATCATTACGATTACCGAACCTATGTAATCGTTTTGATTAGTAATCGTAATCTAAAGTTAACAGGTCTGCTGGCAACGCTGCCCACCCCTTAAAAACTAGTCAATAGCTGTCGGATGCTAAATTTTGACAGTTAACCAAATTCGGCCAAATTCACGATCTATCATTCTTGGGCCAAATTACTAATAACAGCTTCCTTTTTGACGCGGCACCTAGCGGTGAAGTTTACAACAGAGGAACGCATGGAAAGCAAAAAAGAAACACCAATTTTAACTCAGGCCTTACATTTTTATTTAAAACTAGTTAAAAGTGCTTTAGATTTGTGGCAACTAGTTTTTAACACTCTTTGATCTAATAATTATTTTTTTGTCCCTATTTTATGCATTAAAAAGTGCAAATACCCGCGCAATTGTGAACGACAGCAAGGAAGAAGCTGGAATAACTTTGACATTTTCGTTTTTAAGAAAGAAGCAGAGAAAGAAAAGTTCAAAGCTCTCTTCAGACAAGGCCAGGCGTATATAATTAAAAGAAAACAAAAAAAGGTCTTATATTAAGTTATTAGAAAGTAATTTAATTGAAAATTGGTCATAGCAATGGATGCAAATGCAGTTCAACAATGTGCCTCCTCCACAATAGAGCAAAAAGCAGCAGTAGAAGCAGCCGCCAGTGAAGGACCTGAGGAAGCATCGTCTGCAGCGGTGGCGGCGGTAAGTGAAAGCGTGTCAACGGAAAAGGTGGCCACTAATAAGGCGGCAACAAACGCAGTGGTTAACGAGACTGCCCTGCAGATATCAAGTGGAGAGAATGCAGAAATAGAGGAAGCACCGCCAACAAAGCGACTTAAGGCGGAATTAGAAGCTGAAAAATCAAAGGATGCTGAGGAGAATGAAAGCCTCTTTGGAAATATGTCTACGACCTCGGTCGCAGGTTCCATATCAGAAGGTAGTCTATACAACTTGCAAGCAAAAGATCTTAGTTTAGATGGGGTAGTTGCTTCGAACGCTACGTCGCGAAAATTCCAACGCATTCCCATATTCATAGCCGATTATCACAATGATGTATTGGAATTTATATACCGCTGCTTGGCTACGCGCCATTTGCCACTTCAAAATAATATACTAGTGCATTTTGATTCGCATCCAGACATGGTTATATCTCGTGAGATTCCGGCCAGTGCTTCCTTTGATAAAGAAACTATGTTAGCTGAACTTAGTATTGAAAACTGGATAATGCCAGCTTGCTATGCAGGTAAGCAAAAATTTAAATCGCTATGTAAATTATGAAATAAACCGAAATTTTTGCAGGCCATTTTAATCGAGTTGTTTGGCTGAAGAACTCTTGGTGCCAACAAATTCCTCTGGGCAAATATAACTTTAAAATTGGACACAAAAATGATAAGATAAGCGTCGATTGTCCACTTGACTACTTCATATCCGAGGGTAACTATTGTGATACCAAGGAATTGCATGAAACGCGCAACATGGAACTACAAGTGATTAACGTAGACACTTCCACCGAGAGTTCGCCAATAGATACCGACCAGTTTATAAAAGCTACGGATGCACCAAATTTTGTACTAGACATTGATTTAGATTTTTTCAGCACCTCTAATCCATTTTTGGAAATTTATAAAGATGCTAACTGCTACGAACAACTCACCGACATATTCCACTTTGAACCAGAGGTTAAGGATTGTGGTGGCACTACGGAACGTAGAAAACTGCAATTGGAAGCGCTTAAAAAGATATTTGAGCACTTGGAAGAGGCAAGAACATTAGAAGGTCTCGCTCCAGCGCCCGATCCGTCTATAATTGCGCCAGAGACTTATGCACGCATTGAAAATCTCACAAAATTACTACAGAAGCATTATGCTGACGATGAGATAGACTGGTTGCTCATTTATGATTCGGGTAGTACTACAGATACGAATGGACTGCCGCATCATATCAGCACTTCTAAGGAGTTGGAACAATATTTCGCACAATTTAAGAAATTGCTACAAAATTTACCAGCACCGCCGGTGCTAATTACCATGGCTTGCTCGGCTGAGGACGATTACTGCCCCAAGCATCAAGTGAGCTTCATTCAAGAACAGGTGTTGCAAGTATTGCGCGAAGTATTTGGCGAACGGTTGCATGATAAGCCTATACTACATTATTTGGACGAGGAATGGGATGTAATGCATCTATAATGCGAAAACTTAGACAACGTTGCCGCAACAACAACATTGGCTATGTTTAAGGCTACTCGTATTGTAGTTAAAATGTTTATTTGGCTTACTTCAGTAGATACTTTTCGTTCAGGTTTGATTTATACTTATGTTAAAAATACGGTATTTGTGTAAACCATTTAAACATTTGACGATGAAAAAGTTATATATTTAAGAAACTGCGTATTAATTATTTTAGATTATTTCTTATTTTTTTTTACTGAAAGTGAAGAAATGTAACAATTATACCACTAATATTAATGAGTATTTGGAAACACTCTTGACTACTTATACATAAACATTTATAAAACTCGAATTAGCGAAATAAGTATGAAAATAATATCAAAACCCGATAAAGAGCTCGTTGAAGCAGTAATGTTTGGTTTCCGCCGTTATGGAAAAAAATTACAAGGAAATGAAACTAATATTTACAATAAAACGGTCATTAGTTAATAAAAAGGCAAAACTTTTCCCTGTGCTTATTATCTTGGCCTATTCGCCATCACAAAGCACACACACATACATTCCCTACCCCAATCGTTGGCATAACTGCTCAAACTTTATTATGCTCCTCTATTCGACTCTATACATACACACATACCGCATGCCCCATGCCTTGTCCACCCTTAAATAGCTGACCATTTGTAGTGAAGTTGGTTTGTTACAGACCCACTGCATCGATTTTAAAAGCGTTAACATGTGCTAAAGTTTCTTGTACCCAGAATTTGGCTGGCACCAGCGACGTTGCATTTCTCTTACCTACTGTGTGAATATACTTTTGAATTTCTTAGGGTCGTAAAACGGCCCTTAGCCAAATAAGCATGCCGTTGTTTGTGTTAATTTAGTTTTAACATAAAGCAGTTAGTCGTTGGTGGACATTGTAGCCGCTGACACGCACCCACTTTTTGCGGTAGTTGGACAAACAGGTGGATAAAGTATGAATTTTGGTGTTGTGCAAGAAGCTTTAAGATTTTTTATACAATAAAATTCGTTAAAACAGGTGTGATAGAGATTTTAAAAGATATACATCTTTGAAATAATTTAGAAGTAGGAAGTTTAAAGTAAATTTGCAGAAAACATGATTCTGTAGTTTTAAATGGACTCGTAAGATTTGGTTTGGAGTATTTTTAACGGTCGATATCTTTAAAATATTTGGTTCAAGTAAATTTACTTTGTGAGCTGTAAGAGTGTTATGAAATGCACGGACCATATATCTTTGAGTTGCAGTGCAGATCCCCTTTTGTTATCTACCTTTTGTGAAAACATTCACTATTTCAATAATGCAGCGAAGAACGCCATTGCAAGGCTACATCTAAGGCACTCGCTGCTCAAACTAAAACATGCTGCTAGACTTAAAACACTTATTAAATAAAAAAAGAACAGCTGAGACTACACCTATGAGAAAATACCGTTAGCAACCGCTAGCTAGCGACCAACAACAGTTTATGTTCAAATTCACCGGCAAAACAAAAAAGAAACAAATGTTTATACCTATTTACATACATACATACATTAATGAAGTTCAAAGGGGAGCAGAGCAGTGTGACCCCAAATTCTACTAACCATTGTTGTCAACACAAACATATGAAAAAATTTTCCAGCCTTTTCAAGCACAAGGTTGCGATTACTAATGAGAACAAATATAGTTCAGTTATTTAATATCTTTAACTGAGTTTTAAAATATGTTTCGTAAGGGATTTTTTGTTAAAATAGAAATTCAATTGCATGCGGTAAGTGGAATAGTTAGTAAGAACATAACGATTATAATTATTTGTGGAAAAGCTTATTATCTATTTTTAAAATTACTCACCCAGGTGACGTGTCCTGGCGTTTGGCTTTGTACGCATGGTTATCTAGAAGTGACCATCAAAACATTGGGCTACTTCTTCCGTACGGGCGCGATGGAACCACGTTTTCCCCTACTTTGCCATGACAAATTTAGCATGGAAGGCTACTTTAAGTCCGTCGGGTCACTAAGCGACCTAGAACGCGTGCTATCCGCCGAACAAATAGAGATAACACTGTGGCAAAATGGACGGCGCATGGCTTACTTCTCGGGGAAGCTGGCCGACGTAATGCATTCGGATATACCTAAACTGACTTGTGAGCATAATATAAATGTGCAGTTGCTGATGAAGGCGACACCTGCATTTCCGGTAAAAATAATGAACGATATATACAATCTACGTATATCAAACTACCAATCATTGCCTTGTACCGTAGGGAATAATTGCACCAAAAGTAGAACTAAGCGCTCATGTAGGTGTAAAGGACCGTTTATCACTTTCCACAGAGTTGAGCCAACGCGTAGGAAAAGCTTGTGGTAACTCAGGTTTACGTGAATTGGAGTTTGAAGCTACACGGGTGCCTAATCGCCATTGTCAGCAGCAAACCTCGCCAGCTGGGAGCTGTTTCAGTTACTTGGAGGGGCGAAGGCGTCAAAGGCCCGTCTGTCATACCAAGACAAGCTGTGGTAGCGGGTGGGTCTTATTCAAAGACGTTAAAATTTTTGGGTTTTTAATACGAGTACTATATCATCAATTTTCGTCTTTAAATTTAAGGTTTACGAGAGATAACTCAGCAGTTCCATGCTCAAATGCTTTGAATTCGTTCGATATGGAAGCAGTTGCAACTAAAAATGGTGCACGTCGTCTATCAGCCGATTCAAGGTAAACAATTAAAATACCTCCACGAAATTTTGCAATATAATTTAAATATTTTCCGAATCTAGTAATTTCAGTAATAGTTCTTATAACCTTAGCCAAATGACGCGTATGAGCAGCCCCAGTCATCGTAGTCACTCTGTTTGTACGATTGCTTCTATAACAGCTGCTGATGAGCATCAGCGTGAATGTCACATTTGCCAATGCTATCGGAAAGTTTTCTCATAACTCAACTTTATCAGTTTACAGCAAGTTTACAGTATCTCATAATAGATAATAAATATGATCGTATAGAATGATTCAATAATAATAATAATAATAATAATTATTGAATCATGATCGTATAGTATATGAAATGGAATTTTTATTTAGCTTACATGAAAAGTGAAATGTGGATATAAAATTTTTTGACGTTGCACTTCCGGCATAAAAGTCCTATGTATAGAACTTTCGTCATATCGTCGTTCAAAGTACAAAGCCGCCTATCGTCCGTCATTCTGCTGTTTTGTTGTTTAAACGATGATATATATGTTATTTATTGTACTCGCTTATTAAGTGACTGCTTTTTGCAGCTAGGCTTCACAAACAAATTCCGCAAAGTCCAACTGCCCAAATGCCTTTGATATCAAATGTATAAATAAATTATAAGGCACCGCCTTAGTTGCAGCCGTTATTGGTACTCGGCCGCGTAGTCGTATGCAAACGCGTGCTATGTCGCGTAAAGTACTATGCACTTCTGGTTCAATGGGTATATGTAGACAAGCCAATGTAGCATATAACCAAGTACCTATCCATGCATCAGTATCAACAAGATCCAATTCAGTTTCATCTGAATTTTCATTGGTGGCAGCATTCGATGTTGAAGGTATTGGTTCCTCGGTGGATGTATTTTGCAGAATTTCTTTTTCTTCTCCGCAACGCAGCCAATCGCAAATATATTCCAGTAGCTGCTCTAATGTATGTTGACTGAAACGCAATATAATTTTTAATAATGGCGGATTTTCGTGACAGAAGTGACGCCAAGCTTGTGGATCACTAATTAAAGGCGGCTCCAAAGATTGCTCATATTTGTGTCTGTGCAGCTCTAAACGTAGAAGTACTATCTTTTCACGTGATGATTCAAAATTCTCCAATTGCAAGTCTTTCCACTCCTTGGTAGGTAGCCGAACTTGGCACTGTATAGATTTGAGTGGCTCCTAAAGTAATTTGTTAATATTATAACGAATAAATTAAGCGCATCCATCTACTTACTTCCTCATCCTTGAAATTTTCCTCGATTGCTGCAGCTATTCTATCCATGTTACACTTCTTCGGCTCCTTTGCAATTACGGCAGGACACTTTCGGCGTTCGTACAACATATGCATGAGATATTCTTCGCCATCTTGTGGTGGTGCTGACGGATCGAAGTCAGGTCCTGGTTCGCGTATCTCTAGTGCCTTGAATTAATACTGGACAATCAGATTGCGACGCGGTGTATGTATTTTAGTTGGATTACCTGTTGTTGAAAAGTATCCATTTGATTGCCACTGGCACCGTTATCCTCCTTCATTTCCTTAGCTGGCTTGTGTGTAGCATTTGATTTGCGTTTTGGTTTTGAATTTACTTGATACAAAACATCGCTTTTAGCAGCCATTGTTAATAAAAACAAACCAAACCAAACTTTTAAAGCAATCGGCAGTCAAAACAAAAGCCGAAAAAAATCGGGCAAATAAATTTCTGAAGCATTAACGTCAGGGTTGCATATGAACGCAAGTGGTGCCAAATCGTTTATGTGCAAGTGCAGCCAAAACTAGTTAACCGGTTGTTTCAACGGTAAAAACGAAAAATCAGTTTGAAACAAACTTTATTTTTGTAATTTCCCAAATAAGGCGAATTTATACAAGGTAGCTGATCGACTTCGCCGGGGCCCGAAATATGGTAATGTGTAGTACTAGGTTCCAGCATAAGAACATCCACCAAGCTACATGGCTGTCTCCAGATCGAAAAACGAGAAACCAAATCGATCATGTTGTGATAGACGGAAGGCATGCTTCAAGCGTTTTGGACGTACGTACACTCCGAGGGCCAAACATC